ATGCTGCAAGCTTCTCCCACAGCACTGTCCTTTCACTATAGCCAGGGGCAAAAGCAGGGGCCATCTCTGGGTGGTGATTTGAAGCAGCTGCAGTGATGCTCTGACCAGTGTGTATTACAGAAACTATCCAGCAGGTGTGGAGAGTGCCTTCAAGTAAGGCACCAACTCCCAGTACCATGTGCCCCTGGGAAAGGCCCCTTTTTCGGAAAGTGGTTAGAGAAATCCTGGAAGGACCTTGAAGCCAAGAGCGAGGAGGCAGAGCCCCTTGGAGATGGTGTTTGTGCCCTGAGGCCCGCCAGGAGCAGGCAGCGCACTGAGCTGGGAAGCAGGCTGATGCCTCGCTGCTGCACAAGGCGTTAAGAAAGCAGCAGGAGCTTTGGCCTGGTTTCGGGGTGTCCCCAGAGGAGCCAAGAGTGTTTGGCAGGTTTTTAATGCATGCATTTCTAATGGGAGGCTCGTAGCACCGTTTAAGCAATGGTAGAATTAAGTGCTGGCTTTTCCAGTGCACTGGGACCCAGGAGGACAAGGTTTACAAGGTCAGAATTTCAGGCCCAAATTGCTGCTGTATGTGACTTTTCTGGTTGCCTTTTTACACCGTGGCTCCTAGACCTTGTATCTTCTCTCAGTCGTGGTCCTTCCACTCCCTCAGCCCCCAGCTTGTCTCTGTCCCTCATATCATGCCTGTCCACACTTTCAGTGGTTGTATTTTAACCTGCCCTCATACCTGGCCATCTAACTAGTGACTGTACTCCTGTGTCACCCCCTGTGCCACCTTGATCCCCGAGCAAAAGGGTTGTCTGTGGCTATCAGGACATCCAGCTCCTGCTCCAGATTTGGGGCTCTCCTCCCTCCATCCCTCTTTCGCCCTCCCTGCTCTCCCCTCTGAACAGGGGAACCATCCCTGTGGGCTTCTGCTCTTCTCCAAACACTCTGGTGCAAAGAAATGCCAATAACATTGAGGCATCCATTAGTAGGGAATAAACCAGAGGGAAATCATTGGGACCTTGGAGCTGATGGGTTGACTTTGTGCCAGCCCAGGAGGGTACAGCCATTCATGGGCACAATGCCACTACTGTTCCCTGATGCTCTTGCATACGTGAGGATGGCCAGGGGCCAAGGGCATGTTGTAAGAGCCACCTTGGGTTACACTGAAGAGTGTTGGAAGCCTACAGCTGGGTAGGCCCAGCACATGGGGGTGGTGACCTTGCACCTGCCCTATAAAACAGATCCCGTCTCCCAGCTTTTCCCCTCGCCCATAACCACAGCCTCCCTCCAAACCAGGCTCTCCACAATTCGTGTGTCGCCCTTCTTCGACTCTCCTCTGGGCTGGAGTTGCTCGCCCTTGCTCTCCCTGCCCACCCTCCATCCCTGTGTCCTCTTGCTCTGTTGCCTGAGAAGCAAGGGAGGGAAACAGCCAACTCCACTGTCAGCACCTTTCAAGCTAGCAGAAAGGACAGAGTGTTGCTTCCTTGTGTTGGTGGACTCCAACGCTATCATCTGATTTATGTTCATTTGGCTCTAGACAGTTGAGGGAGGGCATGGTGCTGACCCCCATCCCTGGCCTCCCCTTGCCTGTGAATTGCCAGTGCCAGGGAGCAGCTGCTCCCTAAAGGGCAGGGCATGGCTGTGGTGGAGCTGGAGACCGGCACTCCTATGGCATTGCTGCGGCAGGGACTGACAGCACTGGGCTGAGCTGAAATTGGGTCCTGGGCCATGGGCAGGGGTGGAGGAGGCCACAGACTGGGCTGGCCTCGGAGGCCTTAAAACCAGTGCAATAGCAGGGAGACAGGAGCTGTTGGGGGAAGAATGGCAGGGTCTGTGTACTTCTTGTACGTAGTCACCTTGGGGACCCAAGGGGACCAAAGAGTTTGGCTTGAGGAATGGCTCGGCCCTTCCTTTGGCCTGTGGCTAAGGCAAGGTTACACAGACAAGGTGGGAGGTAGACAGGAAGCAGATCTTCTCTGCATGGTGCCCTTGTTTTTGACACATAGCAAGGATAAACACCACTTTCATTTCCATCCACCCCCTAACCCAGCCACCTCTTTCCTTTCCAGGCTGCTAGGACATCTCCCCTTCCAAGCTTTCTCTGTGCTTCCTGAGTGCAGCTCCCTGAGTGGGATGGGGTGGCTCTCAGCGATTACTGGGGCTGCTGCAAAGGAATGTGGTCCTGGCCTCAGACTTTCTCCCTGTGCACCATGAGCAAGCTACAGCAGGCAATGATGACTTCAGCACAGCATTTGGAGCAGCCTGCCCTACCAGAAGGGGTCAGAGCAAGGGGGCTGGGATGTGCCTGTATGGAGTCGGATATTGTGCAGGATATTTGGTGAGGTGAGACAGACAGGCCAAAGCATAATGCTCAGAGAAGGGTGCTGGCTAAAATCCAGGCTAAGCTTTTCACTGCTTGCTCAGGGGCTGCCCCTGGCCTCTCTTGGGGTCGACATACTTTGAGGACCAATGTGCAAAAAGCATGATAGTATCTGCCACTCTTTTGTTCAGTGGAAGAGACTGGGCAAAGTGAAGGAGCATTAGAGAGGAAGGTGAAGGGACAGAGATAGTGTGGGGGATTGGCTGTATCTCTGCATGGAGTCACCTCCGGAAAAGATGGGACAAGGCAGGGGACTGACACTGGGGAATATCAGAGGCCTGTGGGTCTCCCAACCTGTGGAGAGCCAGATGTGCCTCCTATCTGATGCATCTGGGGAGACAGTGTCAGGAAATTATTTCTCATTGGATTATAAGGCTGAGAAACAAAGCAACAGACTAAAAATCTCTGACTTCTGCTTCAGTGCTGGCTGATGCAAAGCTGAGGCAGCAGCTGGAGGCCATCATATGACAACCATAAATGACATGAGTTTGCCGGCCTCAGATGATGAGCTGTGGGGAACAGAGGCTTTCTCTCCGTCTTTTCCATTGGTCTAGCTCTTCTCCCCCTCCCCTTCTCCATCTTGGCTTTACTTTTTGGATTATTGAATATTTAAGTGTTTCTCTGTGACACTATCTCTGATCCTTTAATCCAGCTGGCCTGGTAATTCCACAGACCCAAATCAGCTCAGATTTCTCCATAGACGTAAGCCTTGTTCCTCAAGGGTTCACTCCTCCTCCATTTATCTTCCTTCATTTTATTTCTGCCCTTTGTGTCTCTGTGCTAGAAATCGGTTCAGCTTTTGCAGCAAATGCTTCGGCGGTATCTTTAGTGAGCAGCCTCCCCTCAGAATAAAAGGGGTAAGAGGGAATCTTTATTTTTCATTAACTAAGAATCCTTTTCTCTGTGTTTTGTTGTTCTCTTTCCCCTCAAAATTAAAAAAAAAAAAAAAGAGAGCACAGTGCCCACATGTTTTATATGCTGTATGAAATTATTTCCTCTGCGCTGCCTGAGGACACCCCTGCCAGGCTCCTGCCTCAGCACAATGGGAGAAGGGTTGAAGCTGTAGCCAGAGGGAAGGGTGCTCCAGGCTGCCCTTCCCAGTCAGAACTAGGAGCTTGCCCAGGGCCCAGAAATACATTGAAGCAAATGTCACTTTGCCACTGATTCCTGCAAGGTGTCCTTTCTCAGAAAGGGGCAGTGTTCATAGCCCCCAAGGAGAGGTGGCAAAGTAGGAAGGTGGAAGCTGTGCACCTCTCTTTGGTGGGGGGTAGGTGGGTGATGTGCTCCAGCTCAGGACCGCTGGCACTGCTGGGTGAGACTGGAGGCTGGTATTTGACACACTGCCTGCACCCTGCCCACCCCCAGCATGCTCAAGCCAGGCTGGCTCACCTCAACAGCCTTGTCCCTGCACCAAGAGGCAGGAACAATTTTTAGAGCACAAGTGGTTACACGTGGCTTGAATTATTTATCCCTCTTGCATCAAGGAAGGAAGGAAACAAAAAAGTGGTGTTTTTTTTTCAGGGGGGGAGGCTTGTCTGCATTTTCCCTGCCTCACGCATTCTGTGTACATCTTTTTCAGTCAGCTGAAAATCCATGGCTTTGGTTGTGCTTGGGGCTTGCCTTTGTTTACATTAGGAGTTTCGATCCGTCCGCAATAACAGCCTTATGTTTCTCACCTTCCCTCCCCTTCCCTTTCTACCCCCATGCCGCTGCCTTTCCCCAGGTCCCTGGCTGTGATCACATTACTTAAGGGAGCCTGGGTACCCTTCTGCATACCCCTGATACAAGATTGTATGTCATGAGGGTTCCCTTCTCAAAGGCTTATCAGTACCACGCCTCTCTTGCTTGCACCCCCCATAATGCTGTCTCTTCCTCATCTCCCTCTTCTCATGAAACTTTGCTATCTATACTCTTATCTCAAAGTCCCCTCCAACTGATGCCTCTTCTTGTCTCCTGTGTGCTTTCTTTTCCAGATTCCAGTGACAGATGGATCTCTCTCATGTGCACTTGCTCTT